GCAATTCACTGGTCATCTGTAACCTTTATAAAGTGCATTGCATTCTATTCATGGGCATCAGTAATTCATCTAGTAATTCATTCAAACAGGTGGACTGGTAGCAATGTCTGTCTCAGCAGTTGGATGCCATTCAGGTTATAACACAGGAAATCTAGTAGCGACAAACTCAACTATTCTTTGTGTGGCTGGTGCAACATTTAAACATTATATATATTAAAAAAAAAGCTGTGTATTTTTTTAATCAAGACGGTAGAGCATACCTAATGATCTTAAACAAGTCCGATACACTGTACACTCAGGTGCTCCTAGACAAGTTCAGTGAATTGGATTTTTTAGATGGTGTTAGTACAGTACATATTTAATAGCACTGAGTGCTGTGTAACTGACAAGAGCCGATTTCATTCCATGTTCTATTTAATTGTAACTCAACCGAACCATGTCATACAAATAATCTAATGTTTAGCTGATTGTTCCTCTGATATCAAGTTGACAGTGATGCTTGAAACAAACTGCAACACAGTCAGTTGGTCCAGCTAGACATTCTTTTGGGAGTTTATATGCACTACCAATAAAACAATAGAATCACACAGTAGTACATTAAGTTGCAGCAAGGAAACAGGCCATTGAGCCAAACGAGTCAATGCCAGTGTTTATACTCAACCTGACCCTACACCTCTCCTAATCCCGTCACCCGCAACCGTCTATTTCCTTTTCCCTCATGTATGCATCCTGCTTCCTCTTAAATACGTTAATATTTTGTACTCCAACCCAAGCATCCGGGAGTGAGTTCCACATTTTCATTTCATCACACTGTCCTCATGTGAAAAGCAGTTTGATGCTGTGATGGGAAGATGGTAGAGTGGATATTCTGGAAGGATGAGATTATCCAAACTAATCTTGTGATCTTTTAATGGTGTTGGGACAAAACTGTTGTTCGCCCACAAATATACAGTCAATTCACTTTACAGTGTGTTCTGTGAAGCGCTTTGGGACGTCCTCCCGACGTGAAAAGCGCTATATCAAATGCAAGGATTATTATTATTATTGTGCAGACATGGAAAATAGTCACATTCTTACACAATCAGATTTTGTTCTTTGTGTATCTGCTACTGCCCAGGACAATAAAAATCTATTGCTCTGTCTAGTCTGATAACATGCATTTATTTTTATGTGGCCTGGTTGTTCCCATTGCATTAAAGAGGTTTTTTTTTTACAATCACAGCTGCAATAAAGACTTTTTTTATTTGATTTATGGCATTCATTAAAAGTCAATGTATAGCCCAAGCTTGTATGATTATCATGTTTGCATTGTAGATATGTCCAGTTCAATTGGATCATGACAATTGCATCAAACCAAGGCAGTGAGATAATGCTGAGAAGTAACCTGCTCACAGTCTTTGTGACTCCATAGTTCCCTGATGAATAAACTCAAGTGTGGTACTCAATGCTGCTGATTAAATGAAATGCCAATGTGGGTGCAGTGAGTTGCTATACTCACATGCTGTGCCTCTCTTTAAAACAAGACGGGATCATGTTTGCTATTCTTCAAATAGATGAGTTACTAATCTCTCACAGGTCATCGGAAGACGTATCATTTAGTGGTGATTTATTTTCCCAGTGGGAGGGAGGAAGAAATAGAAAAAAAAACAGTTTATTCTTTTTTCAGAAGAACTATTAGCTGCAGAGTGGATTTATAACACACCATTGATTCCACCTATAGCTTTTCAAATACTCTGCCCTATGCTATTCCTATATGCTGGAACCTCAATTCATTGAAATTAAGACTTATTGCTCCTTTGCCAACTCATTCTTTCCAGCTTCTCAAGACTTGAAGCTCTTTTCTTCCCTTAGCATTTGCTTCATCTTAAAATTGACATGCTTTTAAAGGTGAACTAGCTGTCACCTAAACAATACTTTTTTGACTGATCATGTTTTCTGCCCATTGATGGTGCCTGGATTGTGACCCTGAACCTTCATTTTTCAAATTTAAAAGAGCATTTGAGCTTGTAGGATGGTCTGGAAATAAAGTTGGAACTGTCCATTGTGCTGTCCTGTCCTGTTTGGCACTGATGTGGCTGGGATGCAGAGATGTATGCATTTGAGATGATTGATAGGAGCCAAAATAATCTCACAATTTCTCAAGAAATAAAATGACTGGACTGGGGAAATCAATCCATGTGGCTGGGGAAGTGAACTGGGACCTGGACAAAATGATTTTTATATAGCGGTGGAAGAAAGATGACCAGCCTTTGTAAGACCAAATCTCATTCCTAACCTTGTGTACAAAATAGTGTTGTTGTCATGGAAGGAATTATAGTTTTTATCTTCAATTCTCCAAATTAGATGATAGAAGTTTAAAATCTTTGCATTTTCTTTATACAGCAATCAAATTGTGTGAATAATACATTCACAGGCACAACACAAAGCTTTAAAATGCTCAGTTATTACAACAACAACAACAACAACAAGGTTTCATTTATAGAGTGCCTTTCACGTCGGGAGGATGTCCCAAGGCGCTGGACAGTTGAGTCGAGCAGGGGGGGAAATGGTCAGGGTGAGGGGAGGGAAGAGAGGGAGCGAGGAGTGGGTAGAGGGTCGAGATGGGAGCTGAAAGCACGGTCGAAGAGAAAGGTCTTGAGACCGGCCTTGAAGGAGGAAAGGGAGGAAGCAAGGCGAAGGCACTGGGGGATGGAGTTCCAGAGCCTAGGGGCTGAGAGACTGAAGGCCCGGCCACCGATGGTAGGGCGGTTGGAGCGGGGGATGTGGAGCAGACCAGAGCCAGAGGAACGGAGGGTAAGGGGCAGGTAAGTAGGGGGATAGTAGGTCAGAGAGGTAGGAGGGAGCAAGGCTGTGAATGGCCTTGTAGGTGAGGATGAGGATCTTCAATTCGAATTAGCCCATTTAATGGATTTGGTGGGCTTACTTTCTGTATTTAGTATTTATGTTTCCCATAATCTGTTCCCCAGGTTTAAAAGGAATGCATTACACAGGCAATGGGAACACACACATATCCGTTGTTCCTTACCAAGCAGACTTGCTGTTTGGTCCTCCTGGGTTCCTATGCATTTAGTTGATTACGCATGTTCATTACATTGAGGCTCGACTATGCAAACTCATTGCTTGTTGGCCTCCCCAACTCATCCCTCCACAGGCTGCAGATCATCCAGAACTCTGCAGCCCGTGTCCTCTCCTGCACCAGGCTCCGCGACCCTATCGCCCCCATCCTTGTCCAACTCCACTGGCTTCCCATCACACAGAGGATACAGTTCAAGATCCTGGTCCTCACCTTCAAAGCCCTCCACGGTCTTGCTTCCCCCTCTCCGACCTCCTAACCCCCTAACACCCTGTTCACTCCCTCCGCTCAGCAGGCTCTGGCCTGCTTCACGTCCCCTGCCTTGCTCGCCCAACTATTAGTGGGCGGGCCTTCTTCCTCTCTGCACCCACCCACCGGAACTCCATCCAGCAGTCCCTCCATCTCACCCCCTCCCTCGCCACTTCAAGACCCACCTCAAGACCCTCCTCTTCAACTGTGCTTTTGATCTCCCTGCTTCCCCCCTCTGCCCTCCCCCACCCCGACCCTCAGCTCGTGTCCATAACTCTGTCTGTCCTGCGCCTTGGGACGTCCTCCGGACGTGAAAGGCGCTATACAAATGTAATTTTGTTGTTGTTGACTTCCACAGGTAGATAGCAAGCTCATAAAATCTAAATATCTTAATGTTGTCCCTCAAATCAATTTGTTACCGACCAATGAACCCACCTTTGTCATTACCTTCTAATACTCTGCAATTATTGACCTAAGATCAGACTAATGCCTCATATTTATATGTAATTATTTATAATTCATATATGGTATCAAATTATAGAATCATAGAATCATACAGCGCTGACGGAGGCCATTCGTGTCTGTGCTGGCTCTTTGAAGACAGTTTTCCAAATCAATCCCATTCCCCTGCATTCTCCCATACTCCTCCAAACTTGTTCTCCCCAAATTATTATCTAATGATCTAATGAACTACTTCACGTCCTCCCGACGTGAAAGGCGCTCTATAAATGGAATCTTGTTGTTGTTGTTGTTGTTTTATTAGTTCTGTAGTCCTATTGGGGAAAAGGCTGGTAAATGGGACTGAAAGGATTGCTCCTTAAAAGAACCAGCACAAACAGGATTAGCCAAATGACCTTCTTATGTGTTGTAAATTTCTATGATTCTGTTTTCTATGAAAATCTAAAACTTTTCCTGAAGCTATTGAAATTAATGGTGTAATGATATGCAGTAAGCATTAATGTAGTATGTTAATTAAGCCTAATTAACAAATTATATTAAAAATTGCCCAGAACTCAAAAATGTGAACACTTTGATTTTGACTACATTAAGAAATGTAAAACCACAACGCCAGTGGGATATTACATGCATAATTTTCAGTGTGACCAGTGGATTTGTCTCCAATAATTGATAAAAACTAATGATTTTAGTCATTCATCATTCAAGGTTTCATGCGTGCCAGCAAGCTAGTGTAAAATTGTTGCCAGTATTATTGATGGAATATTACTCCATACAGGCTTGATGAGTTCAATGACCTTTTTTCATTCCATACTATCTTATGATCTAAGGCTTATAGGAATCCTAAGTGGTTCTTGGAGGCTTTAGATGCTAAGGTAGAGCTCGGGACTGATTTGGAGTCAACTTGTGACTTTTCCTCATTCGGGAAAGACATTACCCTGCATGAAGGCATGAAGGGCGCTATATAAATACAAGTTGTTTTCCCCAGTCTAAGAGTGCAACTAAGTATGAATTATACCTTACTCCTGCGTAATTATAAAGTTATAAATGGAACTGGATGCTGACTAAGGTTTGGGACTGGAAATAATAGCAAACATATAAGACCAGTTGCAAACTATGGAATAAAATGTATGTAAGAATAACAACAACAAATTGCATTTTTACTGCAATAACTACAAATTTGGTCCGTAATTGGAAAAAGCATCAAGGCTCCCTCACTTACCTCAGTACTCAATGTACTGCTCCTATTAACTGTTCCATGTAGCTTCCTGTTCAACTGCCATCAGTTGTGTTTATTTCTGGTGTGAAAAACACAAAAACCATTAAAGTGGGAAAGCTAGTTCTAGTTTACTATATGTACCGTGCACACTGGGATTCTTGTAGAAGGAAAACATAAAGGAATACGACAGATTTTGCTGCTAAAATTCAAAATGGATATTATCTGTGGATACAGTATGGGCTAAGCAATGAAGAAGAGTGTGAAAAGTTCTCATTTAATTATCTTGATTACATTTCTCTTGATATCTGAACATCTAATTCAGTATATTTTCAATTAAATAACAGGTATGCTGAATTACTTTCAGAAACTGAAAAATATTAGCAGATATCTTAAACAGAGTTTAACATTTCTTAAATGTAATTAAAGATTTGAGAGATTCCACTTCTAAGTGAGATATCTGAAGATTATAGATTCTCAAATCATATCCGTAGCCTTTGTGTTTTTTAATATGTTTAAATAATGCAATATAAAATATCTATAATTCAGTTCAGGAGACCTCATAAATGTTAACTTGTAACATTTTTGCAATTTTATTTTGCAGCTCTATAGTATAGAATACCTCCAGTTTCAGTATTCATAATAACAGTAATTAAACTGTAATTCTATCTTATTTTAAAGCATTGTTTAATATGTTGCACTCACATCTTTAACCTTATCAAAGTTAATTTCCTTTTACTGTTTTAAAGCACTAATGCTTTATTGCTCGATTGGTGAAACAGGCACTTTTTTCTGCAAGCTAAATATGGTTTCACATTCAAATGTCACAAGTCATACACATTCAGGGTAGCTGTAAATCAGATTTTTTTTGTTGAGATTCATTTAAGACATAAAATAATTTCAAGATCTCTAAATGCCAATTTGGGCAACCTTGTAAGTAAAACAACATTTACAGAGATCTGGAAATCATTTAGTGTCATCTCAAATACAGTTACAGATAACCCTGAAATGATATATAGATATCCAGAAATGAAATATATTGCTGTGTTACTAAACTAATTACAGAGTTTGTAAATGTCTGCTTACAATGTTACCTAACCTGACAATAAGATAAACTAAAATATTTTATGGATATCTCAACCTCAGATGAGACACTTACACAATTTGACCGACAGTCAAAGTTAAATTGGATTGTTAATATATAATTGTTCTGAACTTTAAAATTGTAATAAAGTCAAATAGTCATAATATATATTATTATTGTATTATAATCATCTTAATATTTCTGATGTAAATCATTCATTTCAAGATATTTCATTCAATTTATGATTTCTGGCAACAATTGCATTTGAACAAGTCTGCAACTCATTTTTTTTAGATCCTGAACTTCGTACAAAGAAATCTCCACTATCTATTCAAATTGAATATTCAGATGTTAAACTGACTAAAAAGAAAGACAGCAAATGTACTCTCATTTTATGCAATTTTCTTTCTTGTTGGCTGCTGCTGACGTGAAGACAAGATAATCTTGTGAAAGCCAGCAAGGTGCATTAAAGATCGTTGTAACTTATTTGAGTTTATCCTTTAGCACCATATGTTTTGTATAGACCATATGCTGTGTTTATTGTTTCTTCTTCTACGACTGTAATTTCAAGAGAATGTCATTTTTTTGCATGCCTAAATGCAAAGCTAATGAGAATGTTCAGCAAATTCTCTTGAAGGAGATGTTAAATTGCTCACAATTAGTAAAGCAATCACAGGGGCTAGAGTTTTCAGCAGCAAATACAGGAAAGCCAGAGATACTGATTGCAGACTTAATTTTCTGGAAACTAACACTTATTTTTAATTTATAAAAGCCATCCTACAGAATAGGCAATTTGAGCATTTTTTGTAAATCAATGTATATATTGGAAACTGTTGGTTGGGCTCAATTCTAGAATTCACAGAAACGGGAATAGGCCATTCAGCCCCTCGAACCTGTTCCACCTGATTCGTTAAAATCTTGTTCACCCATGGGAACTATGTTCCAAAAGAGGCCATACCTTCACGACTCATATTCTGCATGAAGGAACAAAAACAGAAGTCGCTGGGAAAGTCACAAGATGATGGGTTAAATCTATCCCTAGTAGATAGATGAGGTGCTGTTCCTCCAGCTTGCATTATTAACATCTTTTTCCCCCTGTTTTGTTGCAATTCCCCCTTTTGTTTTGCCTCACTAACACCTCTTTAACTCACCATCCCCTGTCCTTTATCCCATGTTCTACTGTCTCCCTCCCAACAAGCCCCAGTTTTGATGAAGGGTCGTGGACCCGAAACGTTGACTCAGTTTCCTTTCTCCATAGATGCTACCTGACCTGCTGAGTGTTCTCAGTGACTTCTGCTTTTGTTTCAGATTTCCGGCAGCTGCAATATGTATATGCTTGTGGCAAAATCAGTACATGGGAGAAAATTGCCACAACTCTGCTCAAAGCATTTCTTTACGACATTGATTAGCTGAAATCTATGCAACACCTCAGGCTCTTTTTGGCATTCAGTTGCGTTTTATAGAATCCAAGCAAGTAACTATTCCACCTTTTGCTAAACTAAAATGTGAAGGTTGCTTCTCCTACTCAAAGTATCTGATTTCTGTGTTACTCTTGGTACTGTCCCACATGGCTTTGTGATTAAACAGGGTTAGCTGAGAAACAAAACAATTAAGTAATAGGATCAACTATGCCAACTCCCTGCTTGTCAGCCCTTCCAAATTGTCGCTCCACAAGCAGCAGATCATCGAGAACTCTGCAGCTCATGTCCTCCCCGGCACACACCAGGCTCCGTGACCCTACCACTCTCACCCTCACCTGGCTCCATTATCCAGCGCCTTGGGACATCCTCCCAATGTGAAAGGTGCTATACAAATGCAATTTGTTGTTGTTGCATATTTTCTCTCAGCTTTTTGTTCATCTTTCTTTATTTCTTTGTTGAACCTGATTCTTGGTTGGACAATCTTACTCTATGTCCTTACTCAAGTCCATTCCTCTTAGCTTTATTTATTTCTTATTAAAAGAGGAACAGTTCAGCAGAAAAGGTGAAATAGGAAAATGTTATTTCAATTTGAAACATTCCTACTTGCTAAATGGTGAAGCACTTATGAGACGTTCATACAGTACTTAAATGGAAGGGAAAATTGTAGGGACATTCAGATTACATTTTGTTTCCCTATGGTCTCAATAAAGCAAAGCAGTTTTTTTTCAAGATGGAAAAAGGAGACTTATCAGCAGCAGTTATTCTCACATCGAGTTAGGAATCAATTTTGGCTTACAGTGGGCGATGAAATACCCTGAAACAGAGCAGACCTAAGCTGTGCAGGGATATCACAGATAGGTCACAGTAAGTGACCTTCTAAAGGTCACAGAACATGTAACCTTTGTAGGTGACTATTTTGCTCATCAGACCCTGGGCAGCTAATCATTGTAGCTTGTGTATTAATCAATAATGAAACAGTGCAGAGAGCAGATTTTACTGAACTGACGAGGCACGGAGTGCACTTTCAAAATAAGGCTCAGGCTGTGCAAGAAAAGATGTCTAAATGTCACTTTCAGCAGAGCTCTTTTGTAACACTCTTGTGTTTTCATCAGTCACTTGGCGCTCCTATGTCCTCTCACGACTGTTCGGAAGTTTGTGATGCCACTTAACTAACGTGGAAGAGCCAAGATTTTTTCAGTAATATCATCTTTTTCCCATCACTGATTTCATGTTGAATATTGGTATCCTGGGAGACATCAATGCACCCAACCATAAGCACCATGTCACCTCAATAAACTTACTGATTTGAAACTCGTCTTGGTGAGGAATGTGCTTTCAGCACACTGGATTCATTTCGAAATGGGCAATGTGGAAATCGTTAACTAAATGTGTGTCCATAAACAATGAATTATCACCTTAATATTTTCAAAAATATTCTTTAAAAGTATGATAGGGTGGAACTTTTAGTTCGCACATTGTTCCAAGAATATAATTAGTATCAACCTGGTAGCACTCTCGCCTCCCACTTCCACCTCCAAAAAAAAAGTGGGGCGAAGGATTTAAACTGTTGTAGATTTTCAGAAGGAGCTGTCAACTAGAAATTATCAATGAAACATTTCAAACGTTTGATGAGTTTTTCTGGAATTGGCAGACATCCCAGAACTAAATGGGGATTGACTTGAATTTAATCAGTTCGGATAACCAATTTATTGTAGAATGTCATTTTGTTGCTTATTTTGATTAAGAAAAGCATGATTTCAATTTGGCTCCAAGCTTGATGCAGTTAGCTCAAATCAAATTGACTTCAAGTATTTGAAACAAGAGCAACCGGCCCAGTCTTCAGCTGAATGTTCACTTTCTACTAATGTCTATAAATGCAGATGTAACGAAAACTGATAAGAAAGTAGTAATTATTTTTGCTATTCAGAACATATCAACGGTGTAATATTTGCTTTAACATTATTTCAAACTGAAAATAATAGTGAAAATTGTTTGTAATTAAGACATAAATTTGCCTCTGTGTATTGCAGTTTTTCTTGTGCTGTGTTAGCTTACAAATCTTTAAACTGTAGCCTGAATATTTGCAATAAAACAACGCTAACCTATTGTGATAAGATTTGTATTTTTTCCTTTCCAAAAAATAATGTGGAACCTCAATCTGAAAAAAACAACCATGAAAATACTGACAATTATTTAAACAAACTGACTGTGTTGGGTCATATATACATAGATGCTGCTGAGCTAATGATTTTGTTACAGCTCTTTCCTGGAACATGTCTGGCTGTTATTGATCACATTATAATACATTAAAATAAATGCTAAGAAATTATATCACTTTCAAACAAACTAAGACAGACAAGCACGCAAAGATGTTATGTGAACCCACAAACACACAGGAACCCAAGTAATAACTATCAGTTGAAATTAGTTTAAAAACCTTTCAATGAACCAATCGCCTCAATATTTTAATAGTGAACATAAATATTTTAACCCGTTGATTTTTTACAAGTTTGCACACTACTGTGTGCAATTGGCTGCCACCTTTGACCCATAAAATATACAGTCAATTCACTTTAC